AGTCAAACTTAGAAAAGCTGCGGTACTTCCCAGGATGAAGTACCACAGACAGCCCCTGCCCCATGTGTGCCTCTATAGTCAGCTGGGCATCAGCAGTACAGCCAGGAGCCCCTGCACTGGAAGGATGTTTCCCTGGATGAAGTGGCCTCCCCTTGCTGTCCTGCCATGGACTTCAGGAACAGTATTCATGTCTGGGAGGCAATGCTGTGTCTATCTTCAAGGGCCCCAGGGCAGCCACACCTGGGCTGCTAGGGTCCAGCCATGGGCCTAGAAGTCACCAGTCACCCTGGCTGGCCAGGATTCCTGTGTTAGCCAAACACCGCTTGTCCTGTATCAGCCATTACTGATTCCACCAGCCAGGTGGAGGGGGCAGAGGGACCTGCCCAGTGCCAGAAGCCTTATAGGCAAGTGACAGAGGAGCCGGGAGGTTCTGTTGCAGGCTCCAGCCTCCTGATTCTTCAGCTGACTCACTGTCTTCTGCTTCCCAGTTGGCCCATGGGTACCAAGGACTCATTTACTTTATTTACTACTGTCTCCATCCACATCCGAGACAGTCCTAGCAGAGCACTGCTACATGAATGAGTGGATGTTTCAAGCTTGTTATGGTTTCAAGTTCCCCCAAAAGCTCACACATAGGGCTGGGGTAGAGCGCTCAGCAGTAGAGCGCTAGCCTAGCACATGTGAGGCCCTGGGTTCGATCCTCAGCACCACATATAAATAAATAAAATAAAGATATTATGTCCAATTACAACTCATAAATAAATATTTTTTAAAAAGCACACACGTGAGACAATGCAAGGTTTGGAGAAGAAATGATTGGGTTATAGCCTTAATCTAATCAGTGAATTAATCCCCAATGGGATTAAACTAAGTGGTCACTGGAGGGAGTGGTTTATTGGGGGCATGGCTATGGGGTATATATATTTTGTATCTGGAGAGTGCAGTCTCTCTCTGCTTCCTGATCACCATGATGTGAGCTATTTCCTTCCGCCACCCTCTCCCACCATGTTGTTCAGCTTCACTTCAAGCCCCGAGGAACCGGCCTTCTATGGACTAAGATCTCTGAAACCATATGCTTCCAAATAAATCTTTCTTTCTTTACACTTGTGCTGGTAGGGTCCTTTAGTCATAGCAGCAAAAAGGCTGACTAAAACAGAGCTCTGTTCGGATCTCAATCCTGTGACACCCACAAAGGCCAGACATGTCCCTGGCATCCACAGCCCTACATGTTCCCCATCACTGACTGTCCAGCCCTAAACCACACATAGGGGGCCTCCAAGTACTGCAACCATCCCCCAGGCCTGTGTCTGGGTCTGTCACCAAGTGACAGAGACAGGCCTACAGGTTCCACTCCCCATCAAAGAGCCTGCTCCCCACGAAGCCCTGGGCCTCCTAAATAATGCACCACAGGTTTCTCCTTATAAAAGCTGCATGGACTGAGGAACAGGAGGACCTCGGATTCCAAACCCAGAGGCTAGCCAGGGCCTCAATCCTCGCTCACCTTGATGAACCACTGCTTCAGCACCTCACGTGCCCACTGGCAGGCCTCACAGCTCTCTGGTAACCTTTAAATGTGCTGTTGTGCACTGAAGAGAGCACAGAGAGTGGGAGACAGAACACATGCACCCACGTATCACAGGACCCTTGGCCAGAAACAACTGGCTTGAAGACTCCAGCAGCTGGGCCCACCCAGGCCAGTCGATGGGATACATGGAAGACGAGGGCCTCATCTTCCTCAGAACCCACCCACAGCCTCAGAATAGTAAAATGAAGGAGACTCCAGCCTCCCCACACCTCTTTGCCTGCCCTAAGGGCTGAGCCCCACTTGGGAGGAAAGAGGAACTCAACAGGAACTCACAACAGGACTCGTTTTTCCTTTTTGCAGTTTCCAAACTTCGCCTGCATCTTGCTCATCTCCTGCACCTTCTGTGGAGAGTCTTGCCAGGTGTCTGTTTTGCACAGACACTGCTGCCATCTCCCAAGTCAGTGCTCTTTCTTCCTCCCCATGTCCTCAAGTGCTCCTGTGGGCACAGACTCAGAGTTCAGCAGGGCTAGGCCTGTATGGCTGCGGCACAGGTTGGGTGTTCTGACCACAAACTGATCTTGCCAGCCTCATATATGCTGAGGACTTAGGCTCATTTTATGTATAAACAGCAAATCTGCAATCTTGACTTATTCTGGACTTTCTAGGAATGCAGCTTTCATGCAAACTGAGAGGTGGGTATTTTGTTCAGGATTCCACCAGGGCTGCTCTCCACCCTGGAAACCCTGCCAGTGCCATTATCTGAGAGACAATGACAACCACCCACTGTGGCCACACTGTGGCCATGGTGCAGTACACACTGCAGCTCTGCCTGGGTGTTTGCATGTCAGAACACTCTCTGTTACTACTTCCCTTCACAGCAGTTTGGAAAGTGTCCTGATTGTTTTCAATTATGGATTCAGATTATATTACTTTTGGATTTCAGTGGAGAGTAGCAGAGGGGCATTGTTAAGGATTATAGAAAGAGATGTTAGGTCTGGGGGACAATAATAGCTGGGGTCTGCAGCCCCACACTGAGGTCAGGCACACTACCAGGTCAGTGCCTTGAGGGAGTTGATGAGGGCCAGATTTCTGAGCATGTCCCTGCAGTCATTCCTGATGTCAGGGAAGGGCTCCCTGTAATGCTGCACCATGTACCAATGTGGTTGTTCTTCCTGTCTTCCACCTTGTGAATGTCAGTCATGCTCTGCAGGTCAAGCCTGTCTTCATCAGATATTGGCCTCAATATCTGAAAGGCAGCAGCACACACAGCATCTAGGCAGAGGAAGAACAAATGCTCTGTGGCTCTAAAAATAGGTGAAAAATCCAAGAACTCCCATCATGGAGAACAAAGGCTGTGCAAACAAACAAGCTCCAAAAACAGGATGGGCTCATGTGAAGCTTTTCCTACGATGACACATTCACCCTTTTTCCTTTTTCTTTTTTTGGAATGAGGATTGAACCAAGGGGTGCCTACCAGTAAGCTACATCCTCTGTCCTTTATATTTTTTTAGAGAGTTTTTGCTAGATTGCCAAGAGTCTTACTAAGTTGCTGAGGCTGGCCTTGAACTTGTGATCCTCCTGCTTCAGCCTCCCAAGTCACTGGAATTACAGGTGTACACCACCACACCCGGCTATGGGTGACAAACTCAGTACATGGGCCACTGCTGGTCTTCCTTTGCAAGTGACAGGCATGGCTGATCTATGCCTGCACTGGGACTCCCAAGACTTACTGTCAGCAGATCCCGTGGGTGTTAACCATCGCCTGTGTGGCCATCCATCCTCAGATGACAGGACCTGATTAGAAAACCACAGACTCCTAGAGCTAGGTACAGTGGCACATGCCTATAATCCCAGTAGCTTGGGAAACTAAGGCAGGATGATCACGAGTTCTAAGCCAGCCTCAGCAAAAGTGAGGGGCTAAGCAACTCAGTGAGACCCTATCTCTAAATAAAATACAAAAGTAGTAGAAGATCCAGAATCAGACAGAAAGAATCCGCTCTCTTGAAGCCAATCCTATTCCAATCCTATTCCACACACCTGGGAAAAGTCCAGCTCAATAACCCTGTGCTGCTGCTGCTGCTGGTTCCCTTCCCTTCCAGACTCATTAAACATACACAGAATAACACGGTTCTGGGAATCCTCACATGCCATAACTCACTTCCCTCAGTGAGGATGCCTCTGGGCCTGGGAGGCAGTGACAGATCTGGCACTCCGCGCAGCTCGGCTTCCTTGTGCCCCCTTCCCACAAGTTGGAGGGCAGCAGCCACATCTGCACAGAGGGATGAGCCCTCCGGGAGCCACGGGTAGCTGTCTCCTGCCTCTACTTGGCCTTGCAGATGAGCCCTCCGGGAGCCACGGGTAGCTGTCTCCTGCCTCTACCTGGCCTTGCAGATGAGCCCTCCGGGAGCCACGGGTAGCTATTCCCTCCACGTGGCCCTGAGTATCTCCTAGCCAGGCAAAGGTCCCAGAATCTTGCTCAGTATCCCTGGAGGCTCCATCTTGATGTTAAAGTCCTCACTCGCTTTGACCCGTTTATAATGAAGAGCAGGATGCCACAGTGACAGGCCCAAACAAGGACGTGGGCACAAAGGGCTTTGCTCTGACAATACAATGTGTGTGGGTGGGGGGTGGAGTTAGGTTCTGAAAGAGGGGTCTGCAGGGGCTGGGCAGGCTTTGAAACCAGCGCTCCTGCAGGGGAGTGTGCAGGGTTCCAGAAGGAGCCATGAACCACCAGGTGGCAGCAGGGGACAGGAGGAGAGGCGCCAGGCCACAGTGGGAGTGTCTGGACTCTCATCTGAAGAATGACTGCCCTGGGACAGTTCAGCTCGTGGCCCGGGAGCTGAGCCCCTTCCCACAGTGGCAGGTGCTGGGACTATCTGCCCTGGCTGACCTGGCCATAGAGGGAAGACATGTTACCAGACTACAGCTCTTCCTCATTTCCTGCTCCGACCAGCCCCTACTGGTGGCTCCTTGTCACTTCTCAGGCCACCTTCCTTTCCCTGGACTCTATGGCCAGGTCCCCTCATTGCAGGAAGCCCCCCAACCCTGTGTCCTCACATGCCAGGACTTTCTCCTGCCTGCCACTCCATTTGAATAGTAGGGAGGTCCCGGCCCCTGCCCTTCCCCAAGTACGGAAGGGGCCACACAGCACATTGAGTAGAGGGGTCAAGGGAATCACAACTCTCAAGAAAGGTCTGGGCCCCACCACCAGCATCCTCACGACCACTTGGGCATCCGGCTCCACTGCCCCTCCTCACTGACCCCCACACAGGGCCTCCCTCACCTAGGCTCACCCCCTCCCTTCACCAATTACCCAGGCTGGTGCTGCTTAGCACCTGGTGGAGGATGAGGACATGCCTGGCCCAAGCTTACCTGCCAGGTCCTGATGGACAGGTCGGCCAACCCCTGGGCAAGGTGCCACCAGCTAAGGCATAAAAACCTGGAATCTACCAAGGCAGCTCCGGAGACTGTGGCCATGAAGGGGAGCAGCACACTCCTGCTGGTGGTCCTCACCTTGTCCTTCATCTGCGGTGAGTGTGGCCACACTTCCAGCACATCTGGGGGGCGGGGTGCCTGGGAAGCTAAAATCCCAACATCAGGTCCCTCACCATGGATAGTGCCTGCCTCCAGCACAGACCACCCACAGAAGTTTCCTGCTGAAACCAAGCCTCCATTCAGACCACCCCAGCTCATGTCACCATCATGCCCAATGTCACCCCCTGCAGCCCAATCCAACCTGACCCTGACCTGCTGAGCACCAGTTCAGACCAGCTGTACAGCAGGCGACCCCTATGTCGACCCCTATGTCGGGTGTTGACTTTCCTTCCCGGGAGTGGAAATAGGAGAAGCTGAGATGGGGGGGGCGGGGCGCATCTGTGGCAGGTGGGGCTGGGGGCATCATGGAGGAAGATATACGGAAGGGCAGAAGACACAGAACTTGTAGGCTCTGTCCTGGCATCGTCTCCCTTCGCAACACAGGGCTGACGACAGGGGAGGACAGCAGTGAGTTTTTCATGGACTTCCTGCAAACCCTGCTGGTGGGAACCGCGGAGGAGCTCTATGAGGGGCCCCTGGGCAAGTACAATGTCAACGAGGATGCCAAAGAAGCACTGACAGAGCTCAAGTCCTGCATTGACAACCTACAGCCCATGCACAAGGCGGAGCTGGTCAAGCTACTGGTACTGGGGCCGGGGGTATCCCATTCTCTAAACATCTGCAGTCCCAAAACCCACCCAAGGCATGGCCTGTGATTGCCAGCCCAACACAGTACCCTGCAGCCCACCCCCACAGATACCCTAACCTGCCTCAGCTGAGGTGGACGTCCCATACTCCCCAGCCCACAGAGAAACCCCTAGGTCCCTTGGACCTGCTCCCTCACAGCCTGTGGGATAAGCCCCCCAATGGCTTGTGCACATACATGCTCAGACACACAGGTGCACACACACAATGCACACGCACAACCTGCATGCACACAACACCTCCCAGCTGCAGGGAGGGGTGGGCTGCAATGTGCCAGAGCCCTTCTCCCCCAGAGATGGGTCTGTCTGCTGCAGAGAGCTCTGGCTCTGCAGTCACTAGTCACTGGCTTTCCAGTCCATACTCATCTGCCTTCCAGGTACAAGTGCTGGGCAGCCAGGATGACGCCTAAGTGGACCTCAGACAGGGCTCCTGACAGCCACAGGACCAGCCACAAAAGTAGCCACATGCATGCTGCCTCACTGCTTCTTTACCATGAATAAATTTACCCTTGAACCACTAAATCAATAAAGCCTCCTGCAGCCCAAGCTCTGGTTCCTCGTCTCTCCCCCCACTCAGGGACATACGAAAGGGCACATCAAGAGTATACTCGGGCCAGGCACAGTGGCACATGCCTGTAATCCCTGAGATTTGGGAACCTGAGGTAGTATAATCACAAGTTCAAGGCCCTAGGCCACTTAGCAAGATCCTATCTCAAAACGAAAAATAAAAAGGGCTATAGATGTAGCTCAGTGGTATAGTGCCCCTGGGCTCAATTCCCAGTAACAAAATAAAAATGTCCACTTGGGGACCTGGCCAACATAGACAAGAGCAGTCACCCGCAGGAGCACAGACATGAAAGGAACCCCATCCAGAGGGATGCACGAGAGCAAGGGCGCAGGGCTGAGACTTGACCCAGGTAGACACCACCTAGGCAGGAAACAGCACAGAACACAGGCAGGCAGTCATGTGGACACAAGTGGCCTGCAGAAGGGAGATGCTCTGCAGTGGAAGGCCAGGGCAGGAACAGAGAAAGCACTCAGGGCTACTCTGAGCTTGAGACCCTGGATGGCAGCCACATGCACACTAGTGGAATGCAACAAGGGCTACAGGCCAGCAGGGTCTGAAGGTCAGCCTGCAGAACAGCAGTGTACTAGCTCTTGCCCACTATGATCAACACAGATCCTAAGCTTAGATCCAGGACTCCCAACAGCCAGAACCTTCCAGCACCTTTTCCATAGCTCAGTGGATTCTAGTGGGGGCGATGCTGAGTGGGATCATCAAGCTGGCTCCTTGGCCACCCAGGCTGTGGACCATGTGATCTCACTTGCTCTGTTCCACCCCTATGCACCTGTCCCAGATACTGGAGTTCAGGCCTGGAGAGGGTGAGGTCCCTAGTAAGGGTGGAGCCTGGCAAAGGTGGGGTCTTATGAAGGTGCTGGGATCCCAGGGAGGGAAAGGTGGGGTCTGGCAAGGGTAGGACCATGGGGTTCCAGGTGAGGCTTGGGCCTGGTTGGGGAATCCAGGGTGAGGATGGGGCCTTTTGAAGGTTGAGGGTCCCTGGCAAGGACGGGGCCTGGGGAGGGTGGGGTTCCTGGGGAGGTAGGGGCCTAACAAGGGGCCCGGGTAAAGGCCATTGTCTCCATCACATACATTGTGACCTAGAACACCCCATCCCACAGAGCCACATTCCAGAGCTCAAGAGCTCGGACCTTCCCCAATTCTTGAAGCCTGTGGAAGAGAGGGGGGTCCTTCTCTCCATGATCCCTTTCTGGGAACGGCCTGGCATTGAGGCCAGGGGGACAGGACTACCTGTGAGGAGGCTGGGTCACAGGTTGCTCTGAGCCTGCTCCTGCAAAGAGGTGAGGTCTCCCAAGCAGGCCCCTCCCTGCCCACTGCACAGCGTCAGCCAGAAAGCTGCCCACCAGTGTCCACAGCTCATGTTGTGTCCCACCCAGGATCCTCTGAGTAGGAAGAACTTGCCCAGGCCCCCTTAGAGTCCGTCATGGGACAGAATAGATAGCAGAGTCCAAAACTCCTTACCTTGGAGGTGTGAGCTCACTATACTACACCAAGCAGAAAGCTCCCACTGCCCATAATTGCTCAAAACCCTACAGAGGAGGCCTGTGGTTCTGTCCCATTAGTGACAGCAAGCCCAGAAGTGGGGACATAGGAAGCTAGGGTGAGATGGGCCAGGGCCTCCCCAGCACCTGGTCACCCTCTTATCCATGGACAGAGGCAGCTATGACAGAGGAGGTATGGGTAGGCACCTGGAGACCCCATCGCCCCAGGGGGCCCATCATGGCCCTCTACAGCAGCCCTGGACCCAAGTACCTGATTCCACCCACCACGGGTAAGAATCTGAGAGCTTTGGGGGGGGGGGGGGGGGGGCGGGGGGAAGAGCCAGGAGCAAGGCCTGGGATGGCCTGGGGTGGGCTTGGGTGACCTCAGTGGCCCAGGGCTTAGTCCCTGACTCCCAGTGGGGAGGAGGGGTCTGTGGCTCCAGGCTGTTCAGAGCCACTGTGCCCACAGGCTTCATGAAGCACACACCCACCAAGCAGCGTGCTCCGGCCTACAGCTTCCATGGGGCCCCCATGCTCCTGGCAGAGAACTGTTCCCCAGGGCCCCGCTACAGTGTGAACCCTAAGATGCTGAGGACTGGCAAGGACCTTGGCCCTGCCTACTCCATCCTGGGGCGCTACCACAGCAAAACAATGCTAACACCTGGCCCAGGTGAGTGACCCCACCTTGGACTCCTGACCTGAGCCCTTACCTTCCCTGCTGGGTGGCCAATGTTGGTAGCCTAGTGTTGAGGCCAGGGTATGCACTAACTCAGTGGGCCTCACCTTTCCTGTGCCCTTTCTGCAGTGGGCCAGGCACCATCTGGTGTGAGGAAACAAAAACCTCCAGTTTGGCCCTCATTTGGAGTCTTGGGGCCAGGTCCACATCAGACCTTACTCCCCCGGCTCAAAAACAACCCCAAAGTCAGTATTTTCATCCTGGACACTCCTGACCACCCTCATTCATCACCCACATGGGGGCCCAAAGACCTCATGCCTGGAATGTTGGGGCACACTCCTTGAGTGCCACAGCTGGGGGTATCCACATCCTTTTTGTTCGTGTACCTCCTTCCACTGCCCCCCAGGTGACTACTTTCCAGAGAAATCTACCAAGCATGTGTTCGACTCAGCACCCAGCCACTCCATCTCTGCCCGAACCAAGACCTTCCGAGTGGACAGCACCCCAGGTCTGCAGCAGCCCCCACAATAACCTGTCTGACTGGAGTTGGGTCCCAGAAGGGGGCAAACGAACAGCCCAAGAGATGCTCTCTTAGGGTGGAGAAGGCCCGGAAAGGAGCTAGTAGGCCACATTCTGGTCTGAGGCTTCTCCTCATCCATCCCACAGGCCCTGCTGCATACATGCTGCCTGTGGTGATGGGGCCACGCACGGTGGGCAAGGTCTCCCAGCCCTCCTATTCCATCAAGGGCCGGAGCAAGCTGGGCAGCTTCAGCGACGATCTGCACAAGGCAAGGGTCACACCAGCTGAGGGCAGAACACAGACCCCGTGAACTGCCTGGTCCTTCCTCTCAACACCCAGGGCCCACCAGTGGAGCTCTGCTGAGGCCCCATGCCCCCTTTGCCCTCTATGGCTTGTCACATGCTGGGGCTACACTTAGTAGTGAGGAGGGACCAGGGCCCCAGCATGGGAGGTTGTGGCACCATTGAACACAGAAGGGGTTTATGGGATGTTGCCCAGAGGAAGGAAGGAGAAAAACAAGCATGAGCTATTTGGGGGGAAGAGGTTCCAGCTGTGGAAATAGCTGGCAGGGTGGGCATGTGAAGCAGCATCAGGAGCACACACCAGGCCAAGGCCACTGCTCTCAAGCTCAAGAGGACAGCATCCCACCTGAGAAGGGGCCTCATACACACGACAGTGGTGTGCCCAGGGTTGGCACACAGTGGGAGATTACCATAGTGAAGCTAAAATTGAGGGGGTGACATCATACAGTGGTGTTCCATGAGCAGTAGGGTGTTGTTCCAATAGTGATAGACAGCTAGGAGCTGTCCCTGGTGACTCAGGGCCTGACACCTGTCCCTGCCCTCCGGGGCCATGTGCCTAGGGCCGGCCAAACCTGTCTAAGCCCTCTTCTTCTCCCAGACCCCAGGTCCTGCGGCATACCGCCAGACTGACGTGCAGGTGACCAAGTTCAAGGCTCCACAGTACACCATGGCTGCCCGGGTGGAACCCCCAGGGGACAAGACCCTCAAGCCAGGACCTGGAGCCCACAGCCCTGAGAAGGTCCTGGACAAGCAGACTAGAGGGGGTTGGGTGAGGGTCAGGGGACCCAGTCCAGAGTGGCGGGGGGGGGGGGGGGGAAGGGCCTGTACCCTGCAGGGGCTGCTGAGGCCATGTACCCTCAGGACCCTGTAAATTTCCACTATTCACCCAAAGGCAAACCTCCAGGCACAAGGACCCCATGCCCTAGCCCTTTCCTCCAGCTGGCTGGCTCTGCGTCCCAATGCTGTGCCAGTCAATGCTGAGCACTGTGTTTACAGACAATGTGGCCTTGAGCCTGGCTATCTTGGCCCCAGGTTCAGGAAGAACAGCAGCCCAGCCCCAGTCAGGGTTTAGGATCCTCCTCACAGCCTTTCTTCTCCTAGGTGATCCTGACCAAGCCTTGTGCCCCGATTGTCACCTTCGGCATCAAACACTCTGACTACATGACACCCCTGGTTGTTGACGTGGAATAGCCCCAGCCACCCCTGTCAGCCTGTACATATCACCTCCCACAAGAGATGTGCAGGGCTGACAGTGAACTGAAAGCTCCATCAGTTGGGCCATGGCTGGCCTGGACCTGTGGGGCAGAGCATGCTTGTTTGGACAGTTGCGAAAGTGATATTTTTCTATGCTAACTTCCCATTTGCTAATCTTGTTTCCTGCTGTGCCTGAATTACTTAATAAATCACGGATTCCACTTGTAAGGTTCTTCCTTGGAGGAAGGATCAAGCTCATCCAGAAAGGGGCAACTAGGGGCTATCATTGCTGGCCCACACAGGGCCCATCTGGCTTCCTGACCAGTAGTCTTCCCAGGGAAATAGGAAGGCCCAGGAGCCTTAAACCTTGCCCAACACCTGTGCTACCCTCCCATGAGCTTTCTCCCTCAGTACAGCCCTCCCTCTGAGAAGTGGGGTCTGAGCCCCTACCCTTGAATCTGGACTACCCTGAATTATAATAAGGCACAGCAGAAGTGGTATTGCCTGACTACCCCTCATGGGTAGTCAAGCAGACTAGAGGGGGCTGGGTGAGGGTCAGGAAGAAGGAAGAGAGGAAGCTTAATGTATACAATGCCACATGCAGCATCTAGGGCAAGCAGTCCAACCAGGTCCTCAGTTCACACCAGCTGAGAGAGC